TAACTCTTGGTGAATTTACAATATTACCCTTTCCAGAACTACTTCCAAACTTAAACACAGAAACCTTTCTCAAAGCACTACGACTAAACTTATGTGAGATAAAGAGAAAATATTTTAAAGAGGAAGAGACAAGAAGGAATGTGAGATATTTCATATTTTTTAATGTGAAAAATAAAAGGGAGGGCCTATATTTATATGCCAAAGGATGGTTTAAAAAATGAAATGATCCATGAAGAAAATTAATTACCTAATCATTTATGTCTTTAATCTAATCGATTACATGCTATAAATAATCGATTACTTATGCCCATTTTGGAAGGTTTTGATATAGAGTCGTTATCCACCATTAAGACATTGTCACAATCGATTATAGACTCATTTTCATTAACTAATTGATTAGGTATGTGGTATAATTGATTAGACAGTTTAAAATATGTCCAAATCATTCTGACAGTTTCTAACTCATCTGGCTAGACTAAAAAATAATTTTAGGCGATTTTCTTTAAGAAATAGAGGCTTCAAAAAGAGTTTTATCGAGTGTGTGATTCATCCATATTACTTTACGAAAGTGCCCTTGTGTTTTTACAAAATACTAAACACTCAAAAGCTTTAAGTCTCTTGCTAAATAACCCAATCACATAAGCAGTTCAATTGAATATTCTTGGAGATGAGGCATAATATATCTTCAAGTTAGATGCCATCATAAAAGGATATCGCGGTGATCATTGAACCCTAACTCTTTGGCTTTATTCAGAGGAAAAGTATGATCAACTATATTGTGCATCTTTGACTACTTGAATAGGTTTTGGCACTTACTTGTCTTTGTCATCCAAGTCATCATTCGTCTTCATGGGTTGTTATCAACAAAAACATGATGTTGACAGGTCTATGCATGTCTTTCTTTGCTTTGATCACTTTGTGATTAAACCTGCAAGAACATTGTTCCTTACTAGCCTCTCATTCTTTCTTCAGATCAAATACTTTTCTTTAAGGAAATTTGCTTATGCAAAAACATACCATGTAAAAAAAAGAGGGGAAAGACGAGGGACTAACTCCCTATCTTCATCGAAAATATCTTTTCTTTCAAGATTACTAGCTATCCCTACAACGGCACAATTATCAATCAACCAGTTATTTTGCATGGAAGGCCTTACCTCAGAAGGACGAAACGCCTCTTCATAGCCGAGGTCCTCGTAAAAAGTGTCAAGATCTTCCTTCATCATAATCTATTTAAGGGTAAGGTAATCCAAATAGTTGGTATATTTATGAGGCTTTTGTTTAAACTGGACCCAGGCCCAATACCTTTAAATCTTGTCTGTACATTTGCTCGGAGGTAAGTTCGAGAAGCCGACGAGAAGAGATAACATATTGAGGACCTTACAAAAGGTAGAATTAGCTTCCAAAGTACGAGAGCTTACTAACATGAAGTGATCATGGAAGTCCTCCCATTTCTCGGCATAAACACTAAACTGGGTAACATCATTATGCAATGAGACCAATCCCTGATTCCGAAGGTTATCCAATGAAATGTGTACCACTACAAAGAGGAGGTAAGAAGGCTTCCAAAGCTGACAGTCATCCCATAGTTGAAACACCTTTATTAAAGTCCGAGTACTTAGATAAAACTGCGAAGAAGAAATCTTTAAAAACCTTAACACCTCCTCATCGAATATGGTAAGGGGAAATCATAAGTTTACCGAGTAAACAGGTACTCGTAAAAAGGGATAAAGTTGTCCCTGAAGTTACTACAAATCCTGTTGCCTGATTCCATTAGAAGAACAAATCAATTAAAAGGACAACCCATTTCTAATTTAGCCTCTTCCACAACCACAAAGTTATCCAAATAGGATAGAGTTCCCAATATCTTAGAATGCACTAAGCTATATTTGCTTGCATCAGCCGACTCTGTAAGACTGGTACTTCTTTTGGACCCATCGCTAGCATGACAAACAACCGGTGATTCGAGCTAATTGATATTAGAAGATTGAAGGCAAACCTATAAGTTTTGATAAATGAGTGAGCTTTTTCCATATTCAAAGAAACAACCTCCACCTTTGATTGAGTCCGAGTGAGAATAGAAGAGTTCCCAACAACTGTGGATGGAGAGGGCGTAGAACTGAGTACACGATCACCTTCAGGAAACTCTATGACACCTCTGTCAGAGAAAATCTCATAGAAGGAATACTCGTTAAGAGAAGTCTCCCCACCAAGGGAATCACTAGAAACCCTTTCTAATCCAAAACTATCAGACACATTTAATACGAAGGGAACAGAGCGACTAATAACCGAAGGGATGAGGTATAAACTAGTAAGAGTTTTTGTTCTAATGAGAGAGGCAGAGCCACTATTATCAGAATTACGAGATAGATTTACAGGGTGATTATTTACATGAGCCATGGTGAAAATAAAGACTAGAAATAGGAAAATAATCTCAAGGTGTGAATCACACGTGAAAAGAATAAGAGTAAGTGAATAAAGTAAGTGTTAAATGCAAGTTGAAGAATACTCTACTCCAAAGGAAAAGTAAACGCCTCTAGAAAAAATTTATGAAGGGAAACTGAAGTAGATATTTGGTTTACAAAATTTGCAAAAAAAAATCAGCCGAAGAACCAGAAAACCTTTATATAGAAAAAGTGAACAATGAGTTAGTCAAACAAAAGATGTAAAGTTGAAATCAACGACCATATTTTACCTTGGAAATACAAGTGTACTTGAGTGCGCTCCATAGGTTATAAGGCTAAGGTCACATCCATAAAAATCAGTGAAACATCCCAATGATGTGAAGTGCATTGAATGCGTTTGTTTCCCACAACTTATGCAACTGCCTCACAAACTTCCCATTTATCCTTATGGTTGGATTTAATGATGAGATACCAGCTTCGACTTCTCGGGTGATAAAACACTTGACAAACCTTGGGGACAACTGTTTTGTGTTGGTCAAAGGCTCAATACTGATAAGATCCAAATGCTAAGCCCAATGAAACGAAACCCATTGAAATTGTCCATCATATATAACTGACATATGTACAACATAAAGGACACAGACTCTTTTCAGACCTATACTTTAATCATTTTTGGACTCTTTAACAAACTTAAGTGTTAGAGTGACAACATTGTAAGTTTACCCCAGCATAACCGCGTCGGAGACCCGCACCCCCGTATCAAGAGTCCACGATTACAAATCAATCACAATTTTAGTTTCAATTTAGAACAATTATCTTTTGTAATAATATAACATTATAATAATATAAATATTATGATTAAATAATAAGAACTTTTCTTTATAATATACATTAGAATAATTAAAAAATACATGAAATTATAATAATCAAATTAATAAAATTGTGATTTAAATTTAAAAATTTAATATTAAAAATGAAAAAAAAGAGTGTTTCCAAATAACATCTCGTAAAAAAATACATTGTACCTAAAATTTAAAAAATTAAAATATACTGATTAAGAGTCCATTTGTTTTGCCTTTTTTAAAAATGATTTTTAATTGTCTTACTTATTTTTTTTTAAAAAATTAATAAAAATTTGGTTTGAATAGTTATTTTAAAATATTATTTTAAATATTTTATTATTTTATTGAAATTGTTTTTTAGATATTGAAATTTTTAAATATTATATAATTTTAAAGCTATTTTAAATAGTTTTTTATAATAATTATTTTTAAAATACAACTTATCGAAAATATAACAATTTTGACTATGTTACGATCTTTTATAACGTATGCTTATAATTAAAAAATATAATTTTTTTTTATTTTTTGAAATAAAGAGAAATTTTTAGAATAAAAATTAACTTTTCAATTTATAAAAAATAAATTTAAAAAACATTCAATATTTAATAAATTATTTTTATAAAAATTACTTTTGAAAAAAATAACTATTTTTTTTTTAAAGTTAAAACCATCAGACCTCAAATGTATCAAAAAGATATTTAATTAAATAAATATAAACTTTTCAATAAAAACAAATTTTGTATATTACTCTATTTTACTATTATATTATCATTATTATTTTTCTATATGTTTCTTATCATATGCATTTATTTTATGGGAAATGTTTATTCTGACGACATATATTCACGATAAACTCACAAACGACAGTAGAAGCAAATGTCTATATTATCCTATTATCTTTAGTGAAATTTTCGATGTTGCAGCCGCGATGGCATTCACTCGTTTTTCTTATATAAAATTCACAAATAAGTTAGAAAGGAATATTTCTTTAGATAGGGCTCCTAGGAGTTTGGGAGCAATGCATAGTAGGTGGAAGTAAGTGAAGTCAGTTTCTTGAGGTGGACAGATGATAAAATAATAATTAAAAAAATAGTTATTACCAAATATAAAAAATGACAATAACAAATGTCTCACCATTGAATATGATTCAAACTCCTTCATAATCCATTTAACTTACTTTGATCCTAGATAATTTGTCATTTTTATTTTATAATAACTCAATTTACTTAATTTAGACTTATCTAATAGTATTATCCATTTACTTTTTCAATATTAAATGTAAAGGGTATTAGATATTAAATATTATTAATGAAAATTAAATATAGTAAAATCTAACCCAAATGATAAATATGGATATTGTAGAACAGATGTGTGCATGAATTTATAACAGACTATTAATATTTTATTTTAAAAACATATATTTAGTTAAAAATCAAAATTTAATATTGACCAAAAAAAAAAGTTAATACATTTGAAATCTTGTTTAAATTCAGAATAAGAACAGAAAAATCATATCACAGTCACAGCTGTCAAGTTTTCGCAAGGTATGAGCTTCTTCCTTACCGCAACAACCCGCTTCATAATGCAACTGTTCCGCATCTCACCACCTACACTCACATACATTTCTCATCATACTAATTCAACTTTTCGCACCTCTCATTTTCAGTTTTCACCTTATTGTAATTTTACACTTTTTTTTTCAGAACTGTATACAAAGCTTTGTTGCAGTATCATTGAATAGTAACTATAATCAATCATGTCGCGCGAGGAGAAGAGCAAAGAAAAAGAGAACGATTTTTTTCTCGACGCTACCGAAGAAACCGATATCGAAGCTGTTAACTACGAAAGCGAAAGTAGTCATGAGAATGATGGTGGCAGTTACGATGAGCTTGATCGCAATGAAGGACAACCTGAATCTTTCTCTTCTCAACAATGGCCACAAACTTTCAAGTATTCTTCTTCTTCATGTCAAATTTGTTTAGGTTTTTTTGATTTTTTTGATTCTTTTGAATTTTATTTTGTTGTAATGATTATGATTTTTCTTACTTTTGTTATATGATGATGATAGTGAGGCTATTGATCCATTGACGATTAATGCTCCGAATCTTGGATCGATTCTGAGAGGGCCGAGTGTTCTATACCCGAGCTTTGTGGGTTCAAAGAGTTACTTAGAGTTACAAGATGGAAAGGCTTCTTTTCTGTCTGGGAGTCAAATTCAGGAAGGGTTTCCTAGACAATCGACATGGTGGGAAAAAGCTTCAATTCAAATGCATGTTCCTGAAGAATTGCCTCATGGTTATGGATGTACCTTCACTCAGACTATATTTAATGGTATCTTACTTCATTTCATTTTAGTAATTCAACTACGTAGCGCAGACACCACCGAAAAAAGGCGTCCGTGTCGCGTCTATCGGACACCTGCACCGACACTTGTGATTAAGTTTAGTTTATTTATTTTTTCAAATTGTTATCGGTGTTTCAAATTATTACACTTTATATCACGGCTGCAATCACAGCTTCTGATTGCTGTTTTGAACTATGGTTTCAATATTATGTACTTGTGCTGAATAATCGTTTAATCTAAAATACAGCTGCGGCTATGACATATACCTTGATATTGCAAAAAGTGCTAGAAAATGCGGCTGATGTGGCCGCAGTTGTAATTGTGATGTTTTTGCGAAGACATGTAAAAACTTTATATTGCGATTGTTTGTGGTAGTTACGGACAAAAAATGTATTTTGTTGTTTGGCATATGAATTACTATAAAGCGTGCTTCTTTTATTTATATTTGTAAGGGGTCATTTTATGAGGTAATGTTGTACTTGGCTAGGGATTAATGTGATGGCTGGTGTTGGGCTTCTTTCTACACCTGATACTGTGAAGCAAGCTGGGTGGGCCAGTTTGTTGGTGATGGTTATTTTTGCAGTTGTGTGCTGTTATACAGCAGAACTAATGAGACATTGCTTTCAAAGCAGAGAAGGCATCCTTAGCTACCCAGATATAGGAGAAGCTGCATTTGGAAAATATGGTCGAGTTATTATATCAGTAAGAATGTTTCTGCTTTTTGATAAATTTTGGAGAGAACTTGCTTGTTTTTTGCATAATCTTTCTTAGCGTGAATTTTGGACCCTTTTAGGAGTAAAATTATGTTCTTCTTTCTGTAATGTTCTTGCTCACAGACATTTGTTATGTTCTTCCTACTTATGGTTCAGTCCTATTATATTTTTCTTCTCTGTTTAAGTATTTTTGCCATTTTGCTTTCGTCTGTTTCTTAGGCCCCATATATGATATTTCTCTATTTTATGATTTTCGACGAGTGCTAAAGAATGGTGACATAATATGTATTTTCTATTGCATAGCATGATGATTTAATCAATGTGTATACTGACATTTTATTTTCAATTTTTATCTTGTTGCAGATTGTTTTGTACATTGAATTATATGTAAGTGCTGCAGTACATCCATTTCCTTTTGCCATTATTACTCTGCACAATCTATATGACACATCTAGTTTTTATGATTACAGTCATATTGTGTTGAATATATCATCATGGAAGGTGATAACCTTACTGGTCTTTTTCCTGGAACATCCTTGCATTGGGGAGGTTTGGATTTGGATGCCAAGCACTTATTTGCAATTTTGACTGCACTTGTTATTCTCCCTACTGTTTGGTTGAAGGATCTTCGTATAGTCTCCTATCTCTCAGGTTAATGGTTTTGACGATCCGAAAATATAAAGTTGTGGAAACAATACTGATATAATATATAGTATATGTAGGAGCTGCTAGTTTGTATCTCCCAATGTCTATTGGAAATATCCATCCTTATTTAAACCTCTGTTTTGCAAGCATTTACTAAGATAATTTGTGATGGTTCTGCAGCCGGAGGGGTTATTGGTACAACTTTGATCGCTATTTGTGTGGTTGTTGTTGGGACAAGAAGTGATGTTGGATTCCATCAGACTGCTCCATTCGTGAAGTGGAATGGCGTTCCATTTGCTTTTGGTATCTATGGGTTTTGCTTTGCAGGACATTCAGTTTTTCCCAATATATATCAGTCTATGGCTAACAAAAGAGAATTTACAAAGGCAATAATCACATGGTATGCTATGCTACGCTACATAACTTTCTTTGTCAGTGGCAACCAAGGTTTTTTTAAATTTTATTTTAAAAAAGGTCCGCGTTAAGGCATCAAGTTTTTTGGTGTCTCCGTGACTACTATTGAGACCTCATTAGTGGCATTTGACCATGACACTGCAATATCAAAGATCCTGATGTGGCCGTTACTGCGGCTGCAATTTAAAATCTTGATAGCAACACAGGTTTTCTTAAGTGTTTTCATTTATCTCTTCATTTTATTCTTGTACAGTTTTGTTTTGCCCATGTTTCTATATGGAGGTGTTGGAATCGCGGGATATCGCATGTTTGGTGAAAAGACATTGTCCCAGATAACATTGAATCTACCACCAAATGCACTTGCTACCAAAGTCGCTTTGTGGACTATAGTAAGAAATTTTTGGGTCCGCCCTACATTATTTTTGTATAATTTTTTTCTTTCTTTAAAGTTACATTTGTATTGTTTCTAATTTTGTTTGTTTTCTCTCTCAGGCAATTATTCCGCTAACTAAATATCCTTTTCTGTCATTAAAGTGGAACTATGCTTGATCATTTGCTATTTCTAATAATTATGTCATTGAAGTGGAACTAAGCTTGATCATATTAGGAAGGCTTTTCAAAAATATTTTATTTCCCTATTTAATTGTTTCTGTTTATTGTCATTTATTTTCTTTTATTCTCCACTAAGGAGAGAATTAAGTATTTTTATAGTATTCTCATTATATAAATCAGCCTTTTGACTGAGGAATAAAATTACGAACGCTTTTACCTATTTCTTCCAATAAAGGCATTATAGAATTTCAATTTGCTTTGTTTTTTTTTTTTTTTTTTTTTTTTTTTTTTTTTCTATTTCCTTTTCCCTTAACTATCAACAAATATGCTTTGATGATGAACCCACTGGCAAGAAGTGTAGAGGAATTGTTGCCTGCTAGCATCTCAAACACTAATTGGTGTTTCCTTCTTCTAAGAACAGCACTGGTTATATCTACTGTTTGTGCTGCTTTTGTGATTCCATTTTTTGGTAAGTATTAACCTGTCTCTAATTCAATACATTTCTATGTCTTCACATTCAGCATACACTCAAGAAAATTATACCACTATAGCTATAAATGGTCGGCCCTTTGCAGGGCCATGCTACAAATATCCGATACTCGATTAGAGCATAATCATGCCACATCATGTTCAACAACTTTACCAACTTTCTATTTCTTCCAACTATGAAACTATTTAAGAATTTATAATGGTTCCCACAACTTAAAACTGTTCAAGTCATAGAAGTTATATTTAAATATTAAGAACCAACTGGTTCTTTATATTTGAGATATTGTAAATATGATTAATATCCGTTAGGGTATTTGTGTGATTTTGTCTTGATTCCCTAACTCTTTGGATTGTTTAGGAGGCTCATGCCAATTATACATGTACATTCTCCTGACATAATCTAAACAAGATATTCAGTCTTAGATAATCATTTCCCTAACTCTTGGGATTCGAACAATTTACCTGCAAAACATGAGCCCCAAACTATTGCATCATCAAACAACTTATATAAAACTAGTGATATATATTTTACTCAACTCTTTGACCACTGTAAAAAAGCTGGTGAAGCTTTGTCAATTGTCATTGCTCTTTAAGAACCAGTTCTTATCTTGGATCATTGATGACACAGTATTTTTTATTTATTTTTAATTTCAATCTTTCTTCTTTCTCATTGTGGGGATGCCTATTAGATCATCAAATAGGTATTGAATTGTTAAATTACACTAATACAGTAATCCCATAATTATTTACAGCTCTTATTGTCCTTAAAAAAATCTTGAAGTGCTAACTGCTAAATACTAATTACATTTTTGTTAATCTGCACAAGAAATGTGTTTATATGTGTGTATATTTAGATGAAAACAATTTTATTACAAAATCTGTATTTAAATTCAATACTGGTATAATGTGTCAGATGGATAATATGGTCGTCACACCTTTTATTATAATTTCAGGGCTAGTGATGGCTTTAATTGGTTCTCTCCTCAGTGTTCTTGTGGTAAGCATATACTTCAGTTAAATATTAGTTGCAATCAATATCTCGGAATGTGTAAGAAACTTGCACTTATTGTTGTCTTTTAAAGTAACAGGATTTGAAGGAAAAATACTACTTATATGCATGAACGCCAAACAGCTACAAGTATCTCTTAATATTTTTTCCTCGTTATTTTCGAGTGAAACGTCTTCCCCTCACCCTAAATTTTTCTTTAGAAAAAAACCGATTTGTCATCCTCTCACCCTAAGTTTTTCTTTAGAAAAAAACCGATTTGCCTTCTGTAGTTCTGTATTTTCTTATTTAACATTTTGCTTGTTAGCATTATTTTACAAAAGCATTCATTACTTGTCATATCTGGGGTAAGTTTCCTGCTTTGTATTAAATATTCTTGAATGCTCTGCTACACATTGATCTGAAGCTAAAATCTAACCTGACTAGCAAATAGGTATGATCTGTATGGCTATAGAATGTTAAGTTTCGGGTCTGGATTTAAAATTGAAGCTTCTGTACATGAGTCTAACTTTGATAATAAGTAATCGTATGATATGTTTAACAAATTTTAGTAAACCGTAGTATACCGTGTAGTGAAATATTCGTATTTGTAGCCTAGGATTTGCTCTTGATTTTTTTTGATGTATATACCTTTACAACTACCTTTATTGTCCACATAGATTGGTCATTTGCTTCAGCTAATATTGAAGATTTAATTCATGTAAACTGCTACATATGTTAAATTGCTATATTTTTCAGGCAGTGATATTGCCCGCTTTATGTTTTCTAAGAATTGTGGGCAAAAAGGCAACAAATACACAGGTATATATCAGTGCTGCTGACCTTGTTAGTTTTATGTTTTTCCAAGTACAATGTTCTTATTAATGAAAATTGTTAGGGTAGTAAAATTTATTCACCAGCTTTGATTATTAATTTCAGAAGAGTAACAGTATTTTTTTTTTTTGGCAATAAAATAACAGTTGAATACATGTTACTACAGAGCCATAATTATGATTACTCAATTGTTCATGTTAGCTGGGCATAACACAACTGAGTCTATGAAAGTTTTCTCTCCTTACTTATTTTAGTGGCATCATCTGCAGGTTGCTCTCAGTGTTGTAATTACTGTATGGGGAATAGTTTGTGCTGCTTTTGGATCATATTCATCTCTATTAAAGATTGTGCAGCAGCACTGACACCTTTTTAATTTCAGCAAGTCGCCAGTTACTTATCTTTGAAGCCATTGGTATATGCATGTTCCATGAGTTATACTCATGTGGTGTCCTCTTTTGACTGCACTCATTAAAAATGGAGTCAAACTAAAGCCGTTTAGATTGCTGTTTGAGAGCAATGCTTTTGAACATTTTCTTTGTGATTAGCAGTTAGCACCATGGATGGTAGTTCCTCAATTACTGGATCCTAGTACTACTGTGTGAGCTATATCTCAGTTAGAATTTCTATTTCTTTTTCTTTCTTTTACGAAAGTTCGAAATAAACTTAATTTTTTAAAACCATTATCGATCAACCTTGAATGATTATTTTATAGCGTGTTGCATTATATAAATAGAGTTGTATTTGGTTTTACCCAAATTTGACGTTAAAATTTAACAACAATTTAGATGATAACATAATTTAAATATGTGATTTATTATGCTATATAGATTGTTAATGAATATAACAAGGTGTCACATTCATTGATTATCAACTGAACACAAGAAACTACAATTTTAACTATCAACAACTATAATTTTCACCCAAACGTACGCACTGTAATTAATGTGTTTATTTTAAATAGTAGCAATTTTTTTTATCTTGTGATATAGATTAGAGAGAATGAGTGTGTATATTTTCATTTCTAACTCTGTTTTATGTTTTTCGTCTACTATAAAATCAGTTACAGCATAGCACTACAAGTTCTTGAAAGGCGACCCACTTCCTACTATCGACGGTTGTCGTCAATGAATGACAAATTTTTTCGGGGATAATTATTCAGTTTTACAATGAGATGTTTACAAATTACACATTTTAGTTGCTACTTTACATGATATCTCTTATTTACTTGATATCTCTTATACGTCAGACACAAGCTCAATGGCCAATCACGTTGAGTTTGTAAGTTACTTTTAATTTGTCTCTGAGATGAAGAAATTTTGAGAAAGAGAAAGGTTCGGTGAGTAGATCTGTCCATTTTGTGTTTGAAATATGGACACAGAGGTTTAGAGCAATGACCTTATTTCTAACAAAGAATAAGTCAATCTCCAAATGTTTGGTTTTGACATGTAAGATAGGGTCTGCATTGATAAAATCATAATGACATTCAATTTTTAGAAAGAAATAAAGAAAAATCTAATCATTGAAATTTACACTAGTTCGTCGTGTTCGTCCGCGCTTTGTACCTACTCTAGTCTTCAATGATTATCCATTGAAATTTTGTTGATCTTCCACTATGATCTGTGATAATTGAAATTTTGTTGATCTTCTACTATGATCTGTGATAAAAAAAATTATAAGAGCTCTTCACAATATCCAAATTAACGTTGAAAATATAAAAATATTCTTTCTCGATCTTTGACTTCTATACAGTCTATCAACTGAACTATTTGCGAAATCGCTTCTTGAATCTTCCAGTCCAACAACTTACTTTCGAATCTCCGTTTTGCAAAAATATTTACTCGATTTCACTGGTATCTTAAGGATTGATATGTCCGAAGATTGAGAAGAACTCCTACCTCATCTGTAGGCTTCCACACAACACTACCAAAGTCAATCTATAGAGAAAAACCTTATTCTTTTTCACTGAAATTGATAAAACCAACTGCCATAACCCAAATTTGTCCTACCTGTATAACTACCTTCATTTTTGCTTACTAACCATTATACAAAAATCTAAAATTATGTTGTTTTGCTTTCATCTTTTCTTATTGCTTAAGTCTAAATGTTGCAAGGATGAATCGATGTTCATTCAAGGTTATCAAGACAGGTGTGTATCCAATGATAGTTGAAGTTCAGCTGGGTCTGACCTAATCTTGGTCAAACAAGAGTTTGTTTCTTGATCAAGGTCATGGTGTGCGAAATTCAAGTGATTTGTGTTTGAGGTTCCAATTAGGGTTTTTATGTCAAATCGAGTTATCTGATTAAGTCAAGTTGCAGAGCCATAAAAAATTAAGGCATTTGGTCAGTATTTCAATTCATTTCCAAGTCTTAATTGTGTGGTTCATGTTTTTGTCATTTATTCAAGAAGAAGTCAAACTTGCTATTCAATTCAAGACCATTGTAAGATGGAGTTATGATTTGGTGTCATTTCTTATGGAATCGCTTCAGGGTTTCAATGCATTTCTGGTTTGATTTTTATAGAGTTCAAGATGCCGAAATGGGATTTCAAGGATGATTATTGGTTAAGTCAAGAGTGTCACTTATTCAAGATTACTTCAAGTGGTGCACTTTAAATCATTTATCTAGAATTAATTCAAGAGATTTAGTCAAGGTAAAAAAAATTGGGTGTGTCAATAATACTTTCAAGCCCATTTACATTAACAAAGTCCATTAACACTACAAAAATAAGCATCATTGTTAAAGCAAAATTAAGGGTGTAAGTAGCAATAAGAATACAAGCCCATGAAGCTAGCCCATTTACATTACTTCACAAAATTACAACAAAAAAGAGAATGAAGAAAAACTTGCATCATGATGCAAAGGAAAAATGCAGCGACCCCACCATCCAAAGCGTCATCACAATCCTTACAAAATGTCATCACGCAGTCACCACACAAGAGTACAAACCCCTGCAAGGAAGCACACTCAAAATGCCAAGCAACGTCATCAGAAGCACAAACAAAGCCAATTGCAAGATAAGCATCAAAACAACTTCATGCCAAACGACTTGCAACAATTAAAACGACTCGTAGACAACTGCTACAACACGTCAAAACGGAGCAACATCATCAACTCTTTTCAACTTCATAAATTCTCACTCAATCCTTCTATAAATAGAGCCTCGCATCTTCATTTTCCTCCAAGCTTGGAAGCCAAAATAACTCTGCTAAATTTCCTCCAAATACAACCTTCAATCTTCACCTACCCAAAACCAATCCCCTTCATACAAAATTCACAAAAACACTGCTGCAAATTCATCCAATGACCCACACTCATAACATTGAACTCGCACAAAACAACCTAACAACCTGCAATAATACACCACAATCCTACAAAACAAAAATCTACGCAAAAATCATCCTCACACAAACCGCATATTTCCATATCAAACAACAACAACCATTTAAACAAGCTGCACACCCTCCCCTTTTATTTCAAACCATTGTCAAACATATAACAGTACACACAACCTCCATAACACCACGAAGAACAACCGTCGTCGTCGCCGAATCTGAAAGAGATATTGACGAGGAGAGTTGTCGAAATAGAAAGAATGGTGTGAGGAGAGAGTTGTGCGAAACAAAGAGACGAGAAAGATCCATTTGCCTTGATTAAGAGTTGTTGGACTTTTTGAAGCCCATTTGTAATTTCTTAACACATACAACCTGAGATCTTACACCCCTCTCTTTTTGGTTCTAATTTCTTTTTTAATTGTCTTTTTTTATTTTATTTCTTAAAAAATGAGTTTCTGAAAATTTGATTTGATTTCTTGTTTAAGATACTTTTTCCACCTTGACTTTTATTTCCTTCTATATTTTATTTTATTTTCATCTTGATTTATTTCTTTTTTTTTTCTTTTTGTTAATGAAGTCTTGATATCATGGAATGTCGAGGTTCAAAGATGTTTAACATTCATTACTTCAAATTTGTGGATGAATGATAATTTGGATCATTCTTCATACTTTGAGATAATGATAGGATAATTAATCAATGAAAGTTCTTGATTAAGATGAGACTATTCTCTTTTTCTTTTTGTGTGGCATGACTTTAGGAGAAAGATCTACATATCATTTCTTTAATATGTTTTAACACAAACATTATTATTGACTCACCTCACATAGTATGATCTTCCTCATAGATTGTGCTACGATTTCTTAACATAGAGCTAAATTGGTCCCGATTCGAGAAAATTGATCATCAGATTAATAACCATTAACAACTAACTTCTTGATATTTACTTTCCGTCATTTACTTTCTTGCTCTTTATTTCGTTGTTCATAATTCATTGCTCATATTGTCATTCTCATCTTTATTTGCTCATCTGATTAAGAAAAACATAAAAACATGATAACAGATAAAAAAACCCTAAAAAATATCAAGCTTGGACTAGGGTTACTATCCCTTGCATCACGGAGTTTGGACTTTGTACATAAACCCTAGCAAAAGGAGACATGGAGTTGGATTTTGTATCTTTCTTTGTCTTAGCTTAGGACACCATTGCACATCATTCATAGCTTACTCTTGGGCTTTCTTACAATGAGACTTATTCGATCAATTACTTCTAGTTGGTCTTCCAAAAGACCAGCCCACTTTGCTAGTACACTTGTAGTTTATTGTTCATTTCCATCCCCATTTGAGAAAATGTATCCCAACTCCTATGTCGTGTAATAACTTTACCGCTTTCTCTTTGATTGCTAGTGCTTAGGTAGACTCTAATGCAATAATAAAATCAATCACCCATTTCAAAAGAACACAAATAAGCTTGATCCAACATCAAATTTTTTTTTATAAATAATCAAATTCAATAGGGTTTCCCTTACCATCAACGCTCAACCAATTACGCTCCATTTTACATTCACCCTTTGTAAGTCGATTGCTTTTGCATCGCCATCAACCTTCTCATTGACCAAAATATTTTCTTAATCAACCAAAAAAACTATTGGTCCAACATCAAGTGGCTTCTTCTCAAGCAAATTAAAAATATAATAAGACGCGATTAGGATTGCGCGCCACGAGCCTTAAGTGTGAAGGTGTGAGAAAAGCATAAGAAAGGGGGGGTTTGATTTGAGTTTTTAAAAATGAAAACTTTTTATGAAACTCAAACAAAAATCACAAAGAAACTAAACAAGAAAGAAAGACACACGATATATCCTGGTTCACTTGAAAACTATCAAGCTAATCCAGTCCACCCGCCAAGGTGATTTTGCCTTATATCCAAGAACTTAATCTAATGTAATCAACTGATTACAATCTGCACTAGAAACAACTGGTGACTAATAACCACAAAGACTAACTGTCTAAGTCTTCTTAAGTATTCTGACCT